AGGACCCAAATAAATAAAATCATAAATAAAAGAGGTGAGATCACAACCAACACCAAGGAAATACAATTATAAGAACATATTATGAGCAACTATATGCCAACAAATCAGGCAATCTGGAAGAAATGGATACATTCCTAGGAACATAAAACTACCAAAACTGAAACAGGAAGAAATAGAAAACCTGAACAGAGCCATACTCAGCAAAGAAATTGAAGCAGTAATCAAAATACTCACAAAAAAACTAGAGTCCAGGACCAGATGGCCTCCCATGGGAATTCTACCACACATTTAAAGAATGCCTATTCTTCTGAAGCTGTTTCAAAAAATAGAAGTGGAAGGAAAACTTCCAAACTCTTTCTTTGAGGCGAGCATTACCTTGATCCCAAAACCTGAACAAAGAACCCACCAAAGAAAAGAATTACAGGCCAATATCCCTGAGGAACATGGATGCAAAAATTCTCGCCAAGATATTAGCCAATAGGATCCAACAGTACATTAAAGGATTATTCACCATGACCCCATGGGATTTATTCTTGCACTGCAAGGGTGGTTCTCCATCCCCCAATCAATCAATGTGATATACCACATGAATAAAAGAAAGGACAAGAACCATATAATGCTCTCAAAATATGCAGAAAAAAGCATTTGAAAAACATGGCATCCTTTCTTGATTAAAACTCTCCACAGTGTAGGGATAGAGGGACCATAACTCAATATCATAAAAGCCATATATGAAAAACCCACAGTGAATATCATCCTCAATGGGGAAAAACTGAGAGCTTTTCTTCTAAGATCAGGAACACGGCAGGGATGTCCACTCTCACCACAGTTGTTCAACATAGTATTAGAAGTCCTAGCCCCAGCAATCAGGCAACAAAAAGAATTAAAAGGCATCCAAATCAGAAAAGAAAAAATCAAACTCTCACTCTTTGCAGATGACAAGATACTCTGTGGAAAACCCAAAAGACTCCACCCCAAAATTGCTAGAACTCATACAAGAATTCAGCAAAGTGGCGGGATATAAAATCAATGCACATAAGGGATGATCCCATTTACAATTGCACCAAAAACCATAAGATAACCTACGAATGAACCTAACCAAAGAGGCAAAGGATCTGTGCTCTGAAAACTATAGAACACTTATGAAAAATTGAGGAAGACACAAAGAAATGGAAAAACATTCCATGGTCATGGATTGGAAGAATAAATATTGTTAAAATGTCCATGCTACCCATAGAAATCTACACACTCTATGCAAGCCCTGTCAAAATACCATCAACGTTTTTCACAGAGCTGGAACAAACAATCCTAAAATTTGTATGGAACCAGAAAAGACCCCAAATAGGCAAAAGAATGTTGAAAAAGAAAACCAAAGCTGGAGGCATCACAATTCTGGAAGTCAAGATGTATTACAAAGCTGCGATCATCAAGACAGCATGGAACCGGCATAAAAACAGACACATAGATCAATGGAACAGAATAGAGAGCCCAGAAATGGACCCTCTACTCTATGGTCAACTAATCTTCGACAAAGCAGGAAAGAATATTCAATGGAAAAAAGACAGTCTCTTCAACAAATGGTGTTGGGAAAACTGGACAGCCACATGTAGAATGAAACTGGACCATTTTCTTACACCACACACAAAAATAGACTCAAAGTGGATGAAAGACCTAAATGTGAGACAGAAATCCATCAAAATTCTACAGGAGAACACAGTCAGCAAGCTCTTTGACCTCGGCCAGGGCAACTTCTTGCTAGACATGTCTTCAAAGGCAAGGGAAACAAAAGCAAAAATGAACTATTGGAACTTCATCAAAATAAAAAGCTTTTGCAGGAAGGAAACAGTCAACAAAACCAAAAGACAACTGACAGAATGGGAGAAGATATTTGCGAATGTCTTATCAGATAAGGGACTAGTACCCAAAATCAATAAAGAACTTACCAACTCAACACCCAAAGAACAAATAATCCAGTCAAGAAATGGACAGAAGACATGAACAGACATTTCTCCAAAGAAGACATACAAATGGCCAACAGACACATGAAAAAATGCTCAACATCACTTGGAATCAGGGAAATACAAATCAAAACCACAATGAGATACCACTTTACACCCTCCAGAATGGCTAAAATTAACAAGTCAGGAAACAACAGATGTTGGCAAGGATGCAGAGAAAAGGGAACCCTCCTACACCACTGGTGGGAATGCAAACTGGGGCAGTCACTCTAGAAAATAGTATGGAGGTTCCTCAAAAAAGTTGAAAATAGAGCTACCCTACACCCAGCAAATGCACTACTAGGTACTTACCCAAAGGATACAAACATAGTGATCCAAAGGGGCATATGCACCTCAATGTTTATAGCAGCAATGTCCACAATAGCCAAAATATGTAAAGGGCCCAGATGTCCATTGACAGATGAATGGATAAAGGTGTGTGTGGGTGTCTGGGTGTGTGTGGGTGTGTGTAATAGAATATTACTCAGCCATCAAAAAATGAAATCTTGCCATTTGCAATGACATGTATGGAACTAGAGGGTATTATGCTAGCCAAAATTAGTCAATCAGAGAAAAACAATTATCATATGATTTCACTCATATGTGTAAGTTAAGAAACAAAACAGGATCACAGGGGAAGGGAGAAAAAAATAAAATAAGATGAAATCAGAGAGGGAGACAAACCATAAGAGACTCCTATCTACAGGAAACAAACTGAGGGTTGCTGGAGGGGAGGAGGGTGGGGGGATGGGGTAACTGGGGGATGGGCACTAAGGAGGGCACTTAATGTAATGAGCACTGGGTGTTGTATGCAACTGATCAATCACTAAACTCTTCCTCTAAATCTAATAATATGCTATATGTAAATTCAATTTAAATTTTTAAAAAGTAATTTAATTAAACTAATGGTAGCATGCACTATCAGGACGTGAAGCAAACCAAACTTTCATGCATTGATGATGAATGTAAGAATTGTTTCAACCACTTTGGAAAACTGTTGGTGGTATATACCACAGCTCACGGTCTGCTTACACAAAGACCCAGCGATTCTGCTCCAGGCTGACACCTAAGAGAAATGAGAACATTTGTTCACAGTAAGACTTGTCCAAGAACATTCACAGCAGCTTTATGCCTAACAGCAAAACCTGGAAAGAACCCAAATGTCCATAAACAGAATGGAATGTTTTGGCTGTTGGATATTCAGACAATGGAATATTACCCAACAGTTTTTAAAGAGAATAAACTACTGATCATGTGACAAAGATAAATTTCACAGACACTATATTAAATGAAAAACCAGCCACAAGAGGGTAGAGTGTGGGTTCCATTTCTATGAACAGGAAAAACAAATCTATGGTGACAGAAATCGACACAGCCAGGATGGCTTGGACATCCCCATCAGCCTCGTTGGTGGCTCATCCTGGACTCCTGTGGTTGGGACTAGCCGCCCAGACCGTCTGTCCTACCCTCCTCCTGCTGCAGCATCCAGCCCCACAAACGCTGGGGCCAGCACTGTTGCACATGGGCCTTTCCAAGCACCAAGGTTTTGTTTCCTAGTTGAATTTTAGAAATAAACCTGCAGAGTGTCAAAAAAAAAAAACAAAAAACAAAAACACTTATTACCTCTGGATGGGGCTTATTGGCCAGGGTAGGGCCCAAGGGAAGCTTCTGGGGAGATAAAATGTTTAATATCTTGTTTTTTTTTAAGATGTATTTATTTATTTGAGAGAGCGAGAAAGAGAGAGAGTACATGAGGGGGGGGAGGGTCAGAGGGAGAAGCAGGCTCCTCGCTGAGCAGGGAGCCCGAGATTCCGGGATCATGACCTGAGCCGAAGGCAGTCGCCCAACCAACTGAGCCACCCAGGCGCCCAAAATGTTTAATATCTTGATATGGTGGTGTAGACATATATAAAATTCACAAGGTGTGCACTAAGATTTATGAACTTTTACACAAGTTATAATTCAGTTAATTTTTTTTTAAGATTTTATTTACTTGTTTGAGAGAGAGAGCACAAGCGGGGGCAGGAGGGGCAGAGAGGGAGAAGCAGACTCCCCACTGAGCAGGGAGCCTGATGTGGGGCTAGATCCCAGGACCTGGAGATCATGATCTGAGCCGAAAGCAGACGCTTAACCAACTGAGCCACCCAGGAGCCCCTAGAATTTTAAAACACAAAAACAGGGGTACCTGGGTGGCTCAGTCAGTTAAACATCTGACTCAATTTTGGCCCAGGTTGTGATCTGAGGGTTGTGAGATCGAGCCCTGCGCTGGGCTCCACACTGGGTATGGAGCCTGCTTAAGACTCTTTCTCGGGTGCCTGGGTGGCTCAGTTGGTTAAGCGACTGCCTTCAGCTCAGGTCATGATCCTGGAGTCCCGAGATCGAGTCCCGCATCCTGCTCCCGGCTGAGCAGGAAGTCCGCTTCTCCCTCTGACCCTCCCCCCTCTCATGCTCTATCTCATTCTCTCTCTCAAATAAATAAAATATTTTTAAAAAAAAGACTCTCTCTCTCCCTCTCCTTCTGTGCCCTCTTCTCTCCCTCCCTCTCCAAAAAGAAAAAGAAAAAAGAAACCCCAACAACACACAAAAACAGACCCCTGTGAGACTGAGAACAGGTACAAAGGAAGAAAAGTTCCCCAGAGTAAAGCACTGTGTACAGCCCCTGGATTCTGGAGCCAGACTCCATCATTTACCACCTATATGACCTTGGTTAACTCACCTCGACTGGCTTGGCCTTAGTTTCCTCATCCATAAACTGGGGATGATAACAGTATCTACCTCAACGTGTCATAGTGCAAAATAAGTAACTTAGAAGATTCAAAGCTTAGGGTAGTATCTACTATCTGTTAACAGTAAGCTCCAAACAATGACTTGCTGTTATGAAAATGAATAGTTGAATGTTCATCACTAGGGAGAAAGATGGTCACTAGAAGAATAAAAGGAACAATTTGCTGGAAACATTAAATATCAAAAATCTTCTCATTTGACTGCTTCAAAATATATAAATTTAAAAATTGACAGAATTACAAGATTTATTCAGCAATCATGGTGGGAGAGCTTAACATAGCTGTCTCAGTACACAGATCATAGACGGATGTGGACTGAATGTTTGTGCCCCACCCCCATTCACATTCTGAAGCCTAATTCCCACTGTGATGGTATTAGGAGGTGGGACTTCCAGAGATGATTAGGTTATAAGGGTGGAACCGTCATGAATGGGACTAGTACCCTTCTACAAGTCACCCCACAGAGCTCCCCTGCTCTCTTTCTGCCATGTGAGGACTGGGCAAGAAGATGGCCATCTATGAACCATGAAGCAGGCCTCACCAGAGAGCAATCTGCTGGCATCTTGATCTTGGACTCCAGTCTCCAGAACTATGAGGAAAAAGTCCTGTTGTTTTTAAGCCACTCAATCGATGGTAATTTTGTTATGCAGCCCAAACAGACTGATATTGACCAATATGTATAAATGTGTAGAAGATTTTGAAACACAAATAGTATGCTCAAATCTAGTGGACATATATATAATGCAATACGTTGATTTCAACCACCCATGAAGCATTTATGAAAACTGACCCTATACTAAGTGCATCAGATACTGCATTTGGTGGTAATAAACCCATCCTACCCTCTCCCACCCCATCCCCAAAATAGCAATGTCATGCGCCAGTAAGAAGTGCATCTTTTTCATGTCACAAGATGTCCACAAACAAACAGTCCAGGGCAGCTACACAAAGATACCATGGGGAGACGGGTTGGTGTGACTTCTGGCCACACTCTCCTTAGCCTGTGGCTTTCACCCTCATGGTCATGGGATGGCTCCTCTAGCACTGGACATCATGTCTGTTTGTACAAAGGGCAAGACGTGGAGGGATCAAGCTAAATGTTCCTTTGCAACATCCTTCCCAGGTATCACACCCAATGACTTCTCATACTTAGAAAGGCCAGGACTGGGGGCACGGCCCCTCCTCCAGCTGCAAGGACCGGGAGATAGAGGTTTTTTTAACAGTGCATGTTACCAATCTGAACAAAAAAACGTAAGTCCTGTCGTAAGGAAGAAGGGGTAATTCTGACAGGCAACTAACGATACACCACACTAAAAACAGATACCTAACATTCAATAACATAAAGACCACATTCTCTGCTCACAATGTAATTAAATTAGAAACCAACAACAGAAAGTTATAAAGTAAAAAAAAAAAAACACCCATATACATGCAGGAACTCTCCAGAAGGATAGAAATGTTCTATATCTTAAATGGCGTGTAGGTTACATATATATATGCATGCACCAGAGTCTTCCAACTGTACACTTAAGATTTATGCATTTCACTATAAGTAATTATACCTCTATAAAAATATACCCATGTCCTGTTATTCTTAAAATCTAATTACAAATAACTCAAGGCCAAAGAATAAGTGATAATAGAAACTAAGACAATATTTAGATTTCAACCAAAATGAAAATATTATACATCAAAACATGTGACGTGGCTAAACAAGTACTACGAGAGATGATTATAGCCCAGAACGTGTATACTTTTAAAAACTTGGAAGTCAGTCAGCAAGGGGCCCCCCATACGGATGGGACACTGATAAAGGCAGGCCACCGTTCGCAACATTCTCTCTCCCGGCATGAATCCTTTTATGCACAGTAAGCGAAGAGCTGTGCCTGAAGGCTTTCTCACACTGATTGCATTCATAGGGTTTCCCCGCAGTGTGAGTTCTCACATGCACGATAAGGTGTGAAGACTGACCAAAGGCTCGCCCGCATTCCTGACAGGCATAGGGCTTCTTGCCGGTGTGGGTCCTCGCATGTTTCCTGAGGGATGAAGGTTCACTGAAGGCTCGCCCGCATTCCTGACACACATAGGGCTTCTCTCCAGTGTGAGTTCGCATGTGACTCTTGAGCGTTGAGAGGCGACTCAAGACCTGCCCACAAGTAGCGCACTCATACAGTTTCTCCCCGGTGTGTATCCTCTTGTGGACGTTGAGATGAGTGCTCGTCCGGAAGGGCTTCCCACACTGGTTACACGCATATGGCTTCTCCCTGGTGTGAGTGCGCAGGTGTGTCTTCAGCGACGAGTGCTCCCTGAAGGCTTTCCCACACTGACTGCATCCAAAGGGCTTCTCCCCAGTGTGAGTCCTCAGGTGGCTCCTCAGAGAGGTCGGCTGATTAAATGCTTTCCCACAGTCCTTACACTCGTAGGGCTTCTCACCTGTGTGGTTTCGCTGGTGCAGAATCAGGTTAAAGTTCCTTGTGAAGGTTTTCCCACACTGAGCACATTCGAAGGGCTTCTCCCCAGTGTGAGTCCTCAGGTGGCGCCGCAGATTCGAGGAGTACTTGAAGGCTTGCCGGCACTCCTGACATTCAAAGCACTTCTCCGTGGTATGAGTCTTCTGGTGCCTGATCAGGTCGGAGCTGTATCTGAAGGATTTCTCACATTTGTTACATGCGTAGGTTTTGTCCCCATGACAGATCTTGTCAGGCACAATTAGGTGAGCGGGCTGGAAGAAGGATTCTCCACCCTCGTGGCATTTATAGGGGTTGCCGCCAGCGTGAATTCTGTGATACTGAAAAAGTGGTTCAATGCCGTGAAAGGGTTCCCCAAGTTCACTGTATTTATAGAGTTTGTCTCCAGTCTGGCGTTGCTCCTGTCAAGTGAGGAAAAAATAGGAATCTCAAAGACTATTACGTTCACAGACTCTCCCCCAGGTGAATTACATGTAGGGAAAAGGCATTTCTATAGCTGAAGCTTTTACCATTTCAGTGCGTCTGGGCCATTTCTACCCTGAGTCCCTTCAAGTGGATGCTCTGCCACAGAGAGCTGTCATTTTTGTTATGTTTGTGAGGCCTCTTAGACGCAGAGTTTTGCCAAGTTAAAGGCAAATTAAGTTTTAAACACTTGATGTCTGTTCATATTTATAAACATGGCTGCTTGTGGAAACTCTGGGAAACACATGCCTTGATCTACATGGAGGGTTTTCCCCAACTCATGACATTCACAGACTCTCTCCCAAGAACCTGCTTTCCCCTGAGTGTACACCACTTGCCTTGAATCTCTCTCTCTCTCTCTCTCTCTCAATCTCTCTCTCTCTGGCCTCTTGTGCTGCTTTTCTAATCTACAGCAACCCCAGACTTGTCCTACAACAGAGGACCAAGAAAAATCCTTGGGCACCTTACCCTTTTCATGCCAATGGATGGAATCTCTGCAAAAATATCTTGGTTAGAAATTGGATCTTGGGGTTGATGCTGAGGTTCTGGAATGAATAAGGATAGAAAAATTAAGTACACGGGGAAAGAAACTGTGGGACCAAGGCAACCAAAAAACTAAGAAGAGAACATGTGGATTTTCTTTTTTAAATACCGATTCAAGGGCGCCCGGGTGGCTCAGTTGGTTAAGCGACTGCCTTCAGCTCCGGTCATGATTCCGGACTCCCGGGATCGAGTCCCGCATCGGGCTCCCTGCTCAGCAAGGAGCCTGCTTCTCCCTCTGAGCCTCCCCCCTCTCATGTACTCTCTCTCTCTCATTCTCACTCTCTCAAATAAATATTTTTTTTTAAAAAATACCGATTCTAGGGGCACCTGGGTGGCTCAGTCAGTTAAGTGTCTGACTCTTGATTTTGGCTCAGGTCATGGTCTCAAGGCTGTGAGATCGAGCCCTGCATCAGGCTCCGCATTCAGTAGGGAGTCTGCTTGAGATTCTCTCTCTTCCTCTCCCTCTGCGCCTCCCCCCACTCATGTGCACAAATAAATACTCTCTCTCTCCCACACACACAAATAATCTTTTTTAAAAAATAAAAAATAAATACTGATTCTAACTATGGTAGGAAATTGTGAAGAGGAAGAATGTATCAAAGAGTAAAGGAAATTTTAAGGTATTTGGCCACGTAAGGAGTCACGTAAGCATAGGAACAAGGAACGGAGATGGTAGATAAGTTACTGAGAAAGAGTTCTCTGAAGACTGAGACTGAAATTGAGAGAATGTATTGGCAAGAAGATACACTGGGGAGGCACTGGATAAAGCATACACACATTGTATACACATAAAATCCACACTGGATAAACTATACACGTGGAAATGATAAATGTGAAGAGGAGGTAGGACAAATCATTCTATGAAACCAGAGTAGAGTATTATGGACAAAAAGGAAGGAGATGGAATCCAGTAAAGCAGCTCCCGTCAAGGGCACTCGAAGTGTTTCCCTTACTGACAATTTCCAAACCTAACACTCATCTTTCAATCAGAGCTGCTGCTCCCTGATCTGCCTGCTGCTCACCTGGATGGGTTCCTGGGAAGCTTCTTCTCTCAGGGGGCCACAGCTCTTCTCCTGGCTCCAAGTGGGAAAACGTACTGGGTTTGCCTAGCTGATCTCCTGCTCATGGGGAAAGATGCAGGGTGTGAGCAGACCGTGCCTGCCATTAACCAGCGTTGATATTCTGAAGTCTTTAGGGGCACTGGGGAAGGGAAGAGCAAAATGACCCTGCCTACATTCTCACGGGCATGGCAGGGCTTACACTAAGGAACCAAAGTATAAGCTCCCTCACTGGGTCCCAAAGGACAATGGGATTCTCCAGGCCCCAAAACCCAGGGCCTTGCTCAGAAACACACTTGAAAAGCCCAGAAACTTTTAACCATGGAGAAACAGCAGCAAAGATACCTTCATTTCCACAGGGGAGCCCCTAGACTGTAAGCACTACTAGAGCAGGATTTGTCTGATTTTTTTCACCTCTTGATTTCCCAAACCAGCACACCTCCAGGAACGCATAGGTGCTGCAGGAGTGTGTAGATGAAGCAACAAGCCTGGCCTTACCCACGGAGGCCAGGTTCCTATAGTTCTCCAGCATCACATCTCTGTACAGACTTCTCTGGGCAGAGTCTAGAAACATCCATTCTTCTGGGGTGAACAACACAGCGACATCCGCAAAGGTGACTGGTTCCTGAAACACACACCCGTCCCAGCTCAGCCGGAGGCCACCCCCACCAGTACTCAGGAGGCTGATGAGGGGGCCAGCCGGCCTGGGGAAGGGAGACCCATGCAGAGGATTCTCAGATGGGGCTCTGAGGTCTCAGAATCTGCCCTTTGACTCAGACCCCAGAACTAGAACACTCCTCTATCTACTCCTTCCTCCCCGAGGGACAGCATCCAGACGTGTGGTATCAAAGGACTGAGCCACTGGCAACTAGCCAGGAAGCCCTGGCAGTTTTATTCCCTTCCAGCTCCAGGATCCAGCAGACCTGAGCATGTTGCCGGCAAGAGAGAAGTATTCAGTAAATGACAACTGTTTGCCCCGAGACACCGTGAAGACTAGGAGGCAAGGACAGCTCACAGCCTTGCTGTTTCCCCTCCTGATGTTCAGCAGAATGAGGCATTCCACAGCTAGGGAAGGTCTGAATGAAGCGGTGGGACTGCTGCCTGGGTTGTCCCATGCACCTCCCCCTGACACATATTATGGGAGGTCCAGTGCCTGGAGGCCTGGAGACCAGCCCTGTGGGGTCAAGAAGCTCTAGTCCAAGGGAAGAGAACAAGGGCCCAAGCAAGAAGAGCAACAGGGATTTCTTACTTACCCACGGACAGGTGATCAGTACCCCCGGAGCCACAGCTTCGTCCTCTGTGCCCTCCTTCTGGAGCCAGGCGGGGTCCTGGGCAAGCAGAGCTATAGGAAAGGAGGGAAGGCCAGGAGGCCCCGTGAGCACACCCACAGGACCGAAGGTTGCCCATCCCGACTGTGAGTGACCCTGTCTGCACACACATATGCGCACACTCACAGGGACACACACACGTACAAGAGACACACACATGCACTTGCACACTCACACGCTTAGGGACACGTGCACACTCACACACACATACACGTGCGTGCATTCACACAAACATGCAGACGCATATACACACAGACACAAAACATACGTACACGTGCACATACACATACTGAGAAGAACGTGCAAACACGCACATACACGTGCACATTTTTTCCATTCCAAATCTCTGGAGTCACGGTCTCAATTCACCAACAGACTCTGGAGTTTCTGGGGCACCCCCCACTGCCCCTTGATTCAGGCCTGGGTCAGCATTCCTCCCTAGCTGCTCGGCCCCTTCCTCTGCCCCACTCTGCGGGGCCGGTAGCACCCCAGGACTTACCACAAGGAGGGGACAGAGAAGCTGCCCGCACCCCAAGTCTGCCTGTGAGAAGGCAGCATCTCCCCTTCCTGCCTTCAAATCAACCACACCCCTCCCCTGCCCCGGGCCTCCTGCCTCGGCCTATTACAGATGAGCAAGTGACCCCCCAACACACACACCTTCTCTTGTCTCCCTGCGCCCTCACCTCCCACCGCAACGGGACCCTCCCCCTCAGAAATCAATCCTGACCTAAAAAATAATGCATATCATACAAATAAATAAAATAAATTGCAGATAATAAAAAAAGAAAACCTGAACCATGTCCAATCTCTGACCGTACATATTCCCCTCCTGGGGCTGGTGTAACAAAGTACCACAAACTGAGAGGCTTAAAGCCACAGATGCGTATTCTCTCTCGGTTCTGGAGAACAGAAGTCCAAGACCAAGGTGTCAGCAGGGCTGCGCTCCCTCTGACGCACTGGGCAGAATCCCTCCTCGCCTCTTCCTGGCTCCTGGCGGTGGCTGTCTGGAATCCTGGGTGCTCCTTGGCCTGCAGCTGCGTCCATATGATCTCTGCATCTGTCGTCATGTGGCTGTCCTCTCCCCCCTGTGTCCCTGTCTCCCCCTGGCATGTTTCTTTTTTTTTTTAAGATTTTATTTATTTGACAGAGAGAGAGCAGGGAGAAGGGGCAGAGGCAGAGGGAGAAGCAGGCTCCCCACGGAGCAGTAAGCCCGATGCAGGGCTGGATCCCAGGACCCTGGGATCATGACCTGAGCCAAAGACAGACGCTTAGCCAACTGAGCCACCCAGGCGCCCCCACATTTCTCTTCTTAAAAGGACACCACCAGTCACACTGGATGAGAGCACCCCCCCTCATCCTGACCTCACTTTAACGCGATGGCAGCTGCAGAGACCTATTTCCAAGTAAGGTCACAGTCACAGTCACAGGTACCAGCAGCTAATTAGGACGTCAATATGCCTTTTTGGGGGGCCACAATTTAAGCCAAAACACTCTGCTTTACCCTCTACATACTGTTTTTGTTCCCCACTGTGGGCAACCAACCCACCGTCCATTTCCTTACCTCCTGCTTACTCACGATCACCACCACTCCAAGGACAGGCACCTCACTCAGACCACCAGTGACCCCCCATCCCTGGTGGGGATCCAGTCGATGTGTGCAGTCATCTAATCCCTCCACCCTGAAGTGACCACACCCCCAGCTCCTTCGGTCTCCTGTACAACACCCTCCTCCATCCCTCACCCTTCTCACTTCCTTCAGCCTCTGCCTTGGCAGGTAGCCTCACCCGCTCTGGGCATCAGGTCCCAGCCCGGCTGACCGGGCCCAAACCCCCAGGCTGATTCTCTCCCCTGAACTCCAGACCCACCTCCACACCATCAGCTCAGGTCCCCACTCATCTGTCTGGGGAATTCGCCTTACGACCACAGTGAGCTGGGGGGCAGGGCTGCTGCCACTGCAGGCCTTGAACTTGCCCTGCTGGGTTTCAAGATTGCTTGGGACCCATAACCCCTTCTTTCTCTCCCTTTGGGAGAGGTAGCGTGTACCCTGTGCATGTCCCACCAATGTCTTTTGGAAGCAGAGGACTTGTTTTCTCATTTCACAGGTTCACAGATGAAGAAGAATTTTGCCCCTGGGAGAGACCACACCCCGAGTCTCACCCATGCCTGATTTAGATGATTCATATGGACTTGGGGACTTTTTGAGTTGATGAGATTTGGGACTTAGAGTTGATGCTGGAATGGGTAAAAACTTTGGAGGTGTCAGGATCATCTGACTGTATTTTGTATGTGGGGAGCACATGAATTTGGGGGAGGGGGACCAGAGGGCTGACCGTTATGGGTTGAATTGTGTCCCCCCAAGTTATTTTAAGTTGTAACCCCCCCCACTACCTCAAAATGTGACCTTATTTAGAAACAGGGTCTTTGCAGATGTGATTAGCTAAGATGAAGTCACAGTGGAGTGGAGTGGTCCCCACACCCAATATGACTAGTGTCCTAAGAAGAGGAGAAAAGACAGAAGCAGGGACACAGGAGGGGAGAGGGCCATGTGACGACACAGCAATGTAGCTACAAGCCAAGGAACACCAGGGATTGCCAGGAAGGAGCCTCCCCACAGGCTTCACAGGAAGCACGGCCCTGCCAAACACCCTGATTGGAGACTTCTGGCCTCCAGAAATGTGAGATATGAACTTCTGTTGTCTCATCCCCCCTCAAAAAAATGTGCTCATCACCTTACTCTCAAAGGCTGTTCTCCTTCCAGTGTCCCTGATCTCAGGAAGCGACATCCCTGCCTCAGATGGGAAATCTCGCCCCTGACACCCTGCAGACCCCAACAATTAATCCAAAAAAAAAAAAAAAAAAATCCAAAAACTATACCAAAAAAAAAAAAAAAACCCAAAAAACAAAAACCACCTCAGTGATGACATCGCGAAGAGAGCACTCATCTCCCGCCGCCCCCACCCACCCTACTCTCTTCCTCCTACCCCGGTCCCCACCATGGCTCCTGCCACATCAGGCCTTTCCTTTTTGAATCCACTGAAGGATCACTCACTCCCTCAGAGTGCCTCCCCTCCTCAGCATCCTTCTTTTCTCTAGAAGGACCCTCCCCCTTTCCTCACAGCCCCTACCTATTTGTAACCACATGGTTATTGGCTTCCTTAGGTGTGTATTTTCTGCCACTCTCGCAGGATTAGACGCTTCGGAAGAACAAGCTAGACTTCCCTTTCCTTTCACCCCTGCCCTTCCCGCACTGTGCTTGGCACATGAATGCTCTGGCTTGTCTGGTAAATGAAAGCATGCAGGACTCACCAAATTCTCTCAAATCAACCTCCTGCATATGTCTTAAATCATTCCACAAATCCCTCCCCTGTAGACAAGAATTAACACAACAGGCCCGACTGCTGGCCCTTGGGAACATGGATCTCCAGAGGGTTCCCACCACCCTAACTGGCAGGAGGGGCTCACTCTTTTTAAACTGTTTCTATGAACACTGTGGTTTGTGCTGAACGCCTGCTTTCCTTCCAGGAGTCCGGCGCCTACTGACAGGAGTCAGGTTCATGCTGGGCAGAGGGTACCGACGTGACCAGCCCCGAGTGAAAAGCCTGGGCGCCAAGTCTCTCCTGAGCTTCCCTGGTAGACATCACCTCACATGTGTTGTCACAGCTTGTTGCTGGGGGTATTAAGCATGTCCTGTGTGACTCCAGAAGCTCATGCCTAGACTCCCCCAGACTTCACCTAATGCTCCAGTGGACTGAGCTCTGCGCCCCTTCACTGTGATAAATCACCACCATAAGTACGACTGTGGGTCGAGGCCTAGGAGTCCTAGTGAATGGCCACAACTGGGCATGGTCTCAGGGACCCTGCCACACCCACTCCACACTCACCGCTGGTCAAGGCCACTGCCACCGCATTCCTCACTGCCTCCACCCACCGCTCAGATCCTCCCTGAGGCCCCGCCACCTCCCAGATGTTGGAGGGTTCTGCTAAAACTGCAGATGCACGGCACCACTCACCCAAACACATCCCTGGCTCCCGGCAGCCTAAGCATGCAGGCCGGGATTCTCCTCCCATGCTTCCAGGACCTGAATGATCTGGAGCCCAACCCTCTGCAGTCAGCTCACACCACTCTCCCCTCCCTCTGCTCCCTTCACACAGCCTTCCGTGGGTCCCCGGGCACACCAGGCTCTCTGCCTGTCCGCCTCCCCCCTGGGAGGAATTTCACAGATGCCATTCCTAGGCCTGAAATCCTCCCCCCAAGCCTTCTCCCAACACCCCAACATCTTACCACACTAAATGATACAGTAAATATCATGATCTAAGTCGATACTCATCCCCTAGGGCACATGTGGCAAAGTCCGGTATCTGTCAGCTCCGCTGCATAACAAAACACCACAGACAGGGCAGCTTAAACGGTAGAAATTTACTTCCTCACAGTTCTGGAGGCTGGAAGTCTGAAAGCGGGGTGCCAGCATGGTCGGGCTGGTGAGAGCGGTCTTCCTGGCTTGTACACAAAAGTCTTCTACTGTGTCCTCACTTGGCAGGGAGCTCTGGTGTCTCTCCCTCTTTTTATAAGGACACCAGTTCTATGGTATTGGGGCACCACCCTCATGACCGCCTGCAACCTTAACCACCTCCTTAAAGGCCCAGCCTCCACCCAATATGGTCACATGGGAGGTTAGGGCTACAGCATATGATCTTGGGGGGCAGGGGGGTGGGGACCAGCCACAGCTTCTGGAGACATTTTCAGCTGTCATGACTAGGGGCTGTTACAGGCTTAATTGTGTCCCTCTAAAAACTCATAGGATGAAGTCCTAATTAATATCCAGTACCTAGGGGCGCCTGGGTGGCTCAGTCGGTTAAGCGTCTGCCTTCAGCTCAGGTCATGATCCCAGGGTCCTGGGATCGAGCCCCGCATCGGGCTCCCTGCTCAGGAGGCAGTCTGCTTCTCCCTCTCCCTCTGTCTGCCACTCTGCCTACTTGTGCTTTCTCTCTATCTCTCTGCCAAATAAATAAATAAAACCTTTAAAAAAAAAATACCCAGTACCTCAGAATAGGACCATATTTGGACATGGGGTCTTTAAAGAGGTCATTAAAATGGGGTCAGTTGGGTGGGCCTTAATCCAATATGACTGGTGTCCTTATAAGAAAACAAAATTTGAACAGAGACATATACAGAAAAAGAAAACACAAGAAGACAACCACCTATAAGCCAAGGAGAGATGCCTGGAACAGATCACAGCCCTGAGAAGAACCAACCCTGACAATCCCTTGAACTCACACTTCTGGCCTCCAGAACTGTGAGAAAACAAGTTTTTGTGGTTGAGCCACTCAGTCTGTGGTCCTTTGTTATGGTGGCCCTGGTGGATCAATACAGGAGGCGCTACTGGCGTCTAGTGGGTGGAGGTCAGGGATGCCACTAAACATCCCACGGTGCACAGAATGGCCCCACCACAGAGAAGGATCCAACCCGATGTCAGTGTGCTGCAGCTGAGAACCCATGGTCTGACTTCCAGTTTCCAGAAACTCCTCTCTGTCCCCAAGATAAAGCCCTCGTGTTACATGCTTCCATTGTATTCTGGTCTTCGTTGAAAAATAGGACCGCCCAGGCAGACTGTGAGCTCCACAGGGAAGGGGCCAATGTTTTATTTGAGATTGTCTCCCAGTGCCCACCTCACCACAGGGTGGCCAACTACAGCACCTGAAGAGTCATACTTCAAGAGCACAGGGTACTCCAAGTACTTCAAGAGTACTTCAAGGCAAAGCCTTGCCCAGAAAGCTTACCAAAAATACATAGAAGAGCAACACATAACATAACCTAAGAATTACTTCCTGTCAATGATATAATAGATTCCAAACGCAAGACTGAATGATATTGTTCAGAAACAAAGTTTATTATTCTCACTAGAAGGCAAGATGGAAGGAGATAAATGCCTTGAAATTATAGCTAAGATGTTATTTGTCCCCCAGAATTAATTTTTCCCCCCACTTCTCAGGACATATGGTTTGTTTTAACCTCATTCTTTATAAGCTCAGTTAAAACATATGCCATTTACAGTAAATTCAACTGTCATCTTCAGCATCTACATAACTGTGGAGAATTTAACCTTGCCCAAAAAGAGGTCTGGACTTGGCCACAGCTGAAAGGGATCTGCTCTTTCTTAACAGAAAGACCAAAGACCCAAAAAAAAAAAAAAAAAAAAAGATTCCCAGCCCACAATCCTGAAAATGTGCCTTTCCTCTTGAATGCATAAAGAACGGTGACATGACTTTATATATTCTCTCTTTCCAGTACAGGAAAATGCCTGCGGTCGGAGGAAGGGGGGCGGGTACAAGTTCCCGGATACAACACAGCACAGGCGGGGACCCCCAGGCTGCCAATTCCACCCGGCGCTCACTCACCAGAACCCCCGGCCGTCCCCAGCTCTGGAACACCCAGTGCAGGCACCGGCATGGCCATCCTCTGAATCTGCACAGCCGCCTTCAGCCCCTAGACAGAGTGACAGGGACAGATCAGAGTCACACGGTCAATGGAATCTGCTCCCAGCTCCTCACCCTGACCGAATTTGCAAGACTGACCCTGCTCTGGAAACACATTGATAGGGCACCTGGGTGGCTCAGTCGGTTAAGCGACTGCCTTCGGCTCAGGTCATGATCCTGGAGTCCCGGGATCGAGTCCCACATCGGGCTCCCTGCTCAGCGGGGAGTCTGCTTCTCCCTCTGACCCTCCCCCCTCTCATGTACTCTCTCTCTCTCTCATTCTCACTCTCTCAAAATAAATAAATCTTTAAAAAAAAAAAAAAGAAAAAGAAACACACTGATAACTGAGACATGCCCAGTGTAGCTTGTCCAGATTAATCCAATCCGTGGGTACAAAACTAATCACTGTGATAGAATTTCAACTTCAAAAAGGAATGGAATATGCACCCCAATGTTCCTAGCAGCAATGTCCACAATAGCCAAACTGTGGAAAGAGCCGAGATGCCCTTCAACAGACGAATGGATAAAGAAGATGTGGTCCATACATACGATGGAATATTCCTCAGCCACCAGAAAGGATGAATACCCACCATTTGCATCAACATGGATGGGACTGGAGGGGATTATGCTAAGTGAAATAAGTCAAGCAGAGAAAGTCAATTATCATATGGTTTCACTTATTTGTGGAACATAAGGAACAGCATGGAGGACATTAGGAGAAGGAAGGGAAAAATGAAAGAAGGGAAATTGGAGGGAGAGATGAACCATGAGAGACTGTGGACTCTGAGAAACAAACAGGGTTTTAGAGGGGAGGGGGGTGGGGGGATGGGTTAGCCCGGTGATGGGTATTAAGGAGGGCACGTATTGCATGGAGCACTGGGGGTTATACGAAAACAACGGATCGTGGATCACCACATCAAAAATGAATGACGTATTGTATGGTGACTAACATAACAATAAAATTAAAAAAAAAAAAAAAGGAATGGAGGGGGCGCCCAGGCTGGGGGGAGGCAACCTCTGAGGAGCCTCCAGCAGTGGGGGAAACACTGGAGCAAAGAGAGGCGTGGACAGCCAGCAGGCTGAGGGGTAGTGGGGGGACGAGGTGGACCTCCACACATGAGGCATGGTCAGCAAGTTATTCCCGGAAAGAAGCCCTGTGGTGGGAGAAAGGATCTGAACCCTCCTCCACTGGAGGCTTTTCCCTCAGGGAAGGTGTCTGACCTGACTTGCATTTCTAAGGGCTGTCTCTAGCTTCTGTGTCCAGGGTGGGGCCCAGTAGAAACAGGGGCCTGTAGGGAGCAGTTCCAGGGGGCGCAGAGAACTAACAGTGGCTCTGGGCAGGGTGGTGGCAGTGAGGACAGCAGGAGCAGCCAGAGGTAAATTATATTTCAGGGGAGAAAAGCTCGCAGGACTTGGTGATGGATGGGAAGAAAATGTGGCAGGTCCCTCAGGGCAGGTAATGGGCAGAAATCCTGAACCACGGGCCTTCCTGGCTGGCATTGGGCCCTCACAGCAAACGCCCTCCCCGGCTTACTGTATATCCAGAAGACCGAGGTGACACCCAGAGAGCCGGGTGGTCCTCTGGAATCAAAGGTGTCCCCCTGTCTCCAATTGTGGGCCTGATCTGCATCCTCAGGTCCAGCCCCAGCCCCTAGGAGAGGCACAGAGGGGACTGAGCAGGACAGAGGCGGCACTGAGGCTGCTCTGGGCCTGAAGGACCCTCAGATTTGGGGTAGTGCCGTCACAAGGCAGGTATGCAGGTCTGGCAGCTTCAGACCTGGTAACTCCCCCGACTCCACTATGGGCCCCAACCACTGAGGGTCTCAAGTGTGGGCCCCAGCCACTGAGGGCCTCAAGGACTGATCACACCGCAGACGCAGAGGTGAACCTGACCCTTTCTGGTTCTGGGGGTTAGGCTAGGGGGTTGGGCCACAGGCTCTCAGAGGCACTGCAATACGCTTCACTGAAGAAAGGCTAGGAGCCCTCGGTTCTGAATATGAATGTTGTTCTGTTTTCTTAGAGTCTGTGTTTATCTATTTGGCAGCCATCAGTCGGAGGACCAAACTATTGGCCAGAGCTATTTACATCTGCCCTGCCATCCACAGCCCATCCTCTGAACCCTGTCGCTATCCAAGGCTCACGCAAGCCGGTATCACCCTGCCCTGAAACAGCGTGGAAGGGACATGGCATGGGAGCGAGGGGGGCTAGGACAGTAGAAGGGCTGAGCCTGGAGACCACTTCTTCAGCCTGTTTGGGGGTTCTTCTGGGAGCAGCCCCCAGCCCTCTATGTTCCTGTCCTCCCCTGGCCTAGCTGGCCATGAGGGCGAGGCCACAAGGCCTTATTCTCACATGACAGGGAGGCCTCAGAGCTGAGGATGAGGCCCACTGATGCCCGGAAGGGCTGGCTGAACCATCAGCGCCTTCAACCACGTGGCGGGCTGTACGATTCCCAGCCAGGAGATCCTGGCAGCTAGGATGGCAATCTCTGCAATTAGAGATCTGCATCCTGGATTTGACTCCCAGCTCCAAATGTGGCTGTACCACTTATGGGCTCTGTATCCTCATGGATGACCCACTCAGTTTCTCCACATGTGTGTCCGAGTAGACTTCCTCTGCCCGCTCAGAACATTCTGTGACCATTCGTTTCCTTGTTTCCTGAGGCTCAGATGCAGGAGAAGCCCTCCTCTCCCACACTTAGTGCTCACTGCTGAGCTGGGAGTGGAACTCTGTGGAAGGTGCTAGAATCCCACACTAAGAGGAAAGAGCCCACAGAAACCGGAGAGGACAGCTGTCCCTTTTGGGTCCTCCTCCCTCCCTCCCTCCCTCACAGGGTCCATCTGCTAATCAAGACACGGGGGTGGTGAAGGCCTGGAGTACCTGTGTTCGCGCCTTCACTGAACAAGCATTAACTGAGTGCTCTGTGATGATGCACAGAGTGCTCCGCGTGGGGTTACTGCAACGATCCTGTCAGCTGAGGCCCCTGCAATCCAGCAGCTCCAGTGAGGTATTTTCAGACCTCAGGGCCTCCAAAGCAACATGCCCTTTCCCAAGCAGCTATTGGAGGACATCCTCCACCTAAACAAAAATGTGAACCGATGGTGAGGAGGACCTGGGCAGTGAGGAGTGTCTCAGCTGCCCTGGGGTCTGATGCGAGCCATGCAGCGGTGAGGCTTTCAGCTGCCCTGCAGCCCACACCAGGCTGTGCAGGGCTTGAGGCTCCACATGCTCAGAGCAAAGCAACGAAACAGGTCTCTACCATCCAGGCCCTGCCACCCCATCCACTCGCTGGCGTCTCTTCACCCTGAGTCTGACACCATCCATGACAGAGGTGGAGGGGTACAGACCGAGGGAGCCCAGAGATCTCACTGGCTCTGGGACAAACAGGCCCAGCCTGGGGGTGAAACTGGGCTCTATATGTCCCTCTATCCACACCCTAACCCTCATCTTTGAAATCCCCAAGAACAGGAACCTAAACCTTGGAAATTCCTACAGTGTGGGGAGGCAGGAACTCAGGGCCAAGGTGGGAGTAGCGGGGCTCAGTCTGTTCCCTGGTACACTGGAATGTGCCAGCCGGCTCTGAAGGCTCTTCCATGCTTTGACAGGGGCTTATTTCTGCTGTGAGATCTTGATTTGTCTCCTAAGTGGAGAGGGGTCCGCAACAGCTCTCCCACGTCCCTTCCAGTCAGGGTGACCCTCTCTCCCACGGTTCTCTTGTCAGGTCTAGGTTAGAGTACCTCCTGAAGCCATTCTGGATGCAGCTGAACCAACTCTCCAGGCAGAGTTTGCTCCTGGCTAGGGGTGAGTGACGACAAAACCCCCGCCAACACCCACAGAGTGCCCAGGGCTGCTCCCTTCCCTGTCGAGGCAAGTTTCTAGCACGTTCCGAGGCGCACCTCGCTTAGGCAGGTTGAGGGCTCAAGGATGTTGAGGGGTTTCTCCAAAAGGCAGGAGTTTCCCATGACTGTCGAGGAGTAAATCATACTGCACACAATCAATGTCTGACTCACACTGACGGCAATGTTTACTCGGGAGAACATTTGAAGAAGGGTCTTGAGTGACAGACAGGGTTTACCCAAATTCAGGAGTCATGGCCACTCCCTTCAGACCATGTGGGAATGTCTTTGAGGAGATGCCCCAAATGTCTCCCTGGCTCTGGTGTGCATTTCCAACTCACAAATTCCTCAACTTCTCCCAAGAGAGGGAATAAGGATAATCCCCCATGAATCTTACCATTTGCATACCATGGGACGAATTTTCCTCCAAAATATCCTGCACAGGAGTCGACACTTTGGATTTAAGTTGAGATTCCCAGTCTAAAACAAATTAGAAAAAAAAATTAAGTTCTTTCAGAAATAGTGATATGAAATTGACCAAAATAAATATTTAAGTATTTATTGTTTTAAAATATTGTTTTTTAAATATTGAGCCTAAACTTGGGACAGTACTAAAAGGGAAGAAGGTGTCAGTGAGCAAAGGGAGACTCTGCAGGGTACAGCTGTGTGCAGAGTCTGGCAGTGACAGGAGCGGGGGTGGGGCGGGGATGAGAAACTATGTCTTCTGGGGATTGAGACAGATGTCGCCAGAAAGACAGCCTTATCAGAGAAATAAGTAAGAAGCAATTAGACAAAGAACACACACAGAAATGTTCGCTTTCATGAGGAATTGGACAATAAGTGTGGATATGAGGTGGAGCAACTGGAACCCTCAACCACCGTTGGTGGGAATGTAAAATGGTGCACGCACCTGTCTCAGAAAGCACTTTGGTGGTTCCCCAAAAAGTTCAGTAAACGACCCAGCAACTCTACTCCTAAGCGTCAACCCAAGAGAAATGAAAACATACCCACATAAAATCTGGTACGTGAATGTTCACAACACTATTCACAAGAGCCAAAAAGTAGAAACAAACCCAACGTCTGTCCATAGACAAATGGACAAACAAAACACGGTCTACCCATACACTGGGACAGTAGTCAGTCCTAAAAAGGAACAAGGCTCTGACACTCGCTACAATGTGGATGAACCTCAACAACATCACACTAACAAAAGATAGACACCCAAGGCCACATGTTGTGTGATTCTCTTTATATGAAGTATCCAGCACAGGCAAATCCACAGAGACAGAAAGCAGATGGGGGGGGGCGCGCGAGACTGGTGAAGGTGGCACAACTTTGTGAATATACTGAAAACCAGTGAATTGTACACTTTAAAAGGGTGGATTCTTTGGTATGTGAATATCTCAATTTAAAAAGAGAGAGAGAGAGAGATTTGAACAGATCGTTTTCTGAGATCAATGAGAAGTAGAAGGCTAGCAGAAGAGAAAAAACACTAACAGAAACTCACTTGAGAAACCTCACCCCAAAGAGTCTCATTTCCCCTTGCGATAAAGGGCCTCTGAAATGCTCTTAGACTGATACTTCCCAGCACACCGCCCCCCCACCCGGTGGGCAGCCCACACACACCCACCCACACCCGTGGAGCCCTCAGCTCTTCCTCTGGCCCCACCTGGGAGCCCAGACTGGGTCTGCATGGTGGAATCCCCACTCCTGGACAAAGACACACATGCTGAGGGAGGCAGGGAGGGTTTGCAGTGGGCTTCCTGCTTCCGCGTGGGCTTGAGCTCCTGGCACTGAGTGAGGACCATGGGTAGCAAAGTGATCGTACCCAATTTCCAGTGAACTCAGTGAAGCTCTTTCACAAGGGCCCACACCACAAACACCCTCCTCTCTGCCCCACAGGGATAAAGCCCTGAAACCCAAGGCCAAGTTCAATGAGACCCACGCAGGTTCTGACTACAGAAAGAATGAATACAATACAACAGATGGAGCTCTGTTTTCCTGTGGAAGCCCACACATCTTCCTTGGCCTCATAGCTGGCCCTTAAGAGGCATTAGACACCTGCGTGGGAGAAGGACCAGCCTGATGCTAGCCTTACCCCTGGGGGCCAGGGTCCTACACTTGTCCAGGATCACGTATCGGCACAGGTTCTTCCGTGCACCATCCAGCATCGCCCACTCCTGGATGAGCCCCACCGCCACATCCTCGAAGGTAACTGACTCCTAGAACAACGCACATATATTCTGGCTCCACAAGGACCACCTGCAGGACAACTGGTTATCACTGGGAAAGGGAGCACGTTCGGAACACTCCCACCACAGCAGGGCTCAGCAAACCTGGCCTGCCTCCTGTTTTTATAAATAAAGTTTTACTGGAACACAGCCATGCCCATTTGTTTGCCCATCTCTACAGCTGGTGTTGTGCCGTAACAGCTGTGACCACGACAGGGATCACATGGCCAACTGAGCAGACAAATCCGAGAGTGTGAGCTTTGGCTCTCTTTGTCACTTCACACTACCAGTGACTGCCCGAGCCTATTTCTGGACTCTAGAGAGTTTTTCCTAAACTCTTTATTTAAGGCATCAGAAGTTTGGGATTGATCACTTAATTTTCATGAAATCCCTAGAACCCCTTCCCAAGACTTAAGCACTTTGTAATCTTTTATGTCTGTGAGAACAGGACTACCACTGCATCTGAGAAACTTAATGGTCTTTTCATCTCAGAACCCTGTAGCGCAGCATGGTCTGACAGAGCTTCCGTGAGGATGGGAATGTTCTAGGTCCGTGCTTTCCAAAAAGGCAGCCACCAGCACGTGTAGCTATTGAGCACCTGAGTGGTTCAGGCAACTAAGAAACTGGGTTTTTAATTTTACCGAATTTTAATTAATTTCAAGTTATCCAGACATGTGTGTTTTTGGGTAGCCCTCCCAAGGGATGGCCCAGGTGTGGAGCTCTGCTGCTGCCAAGTCTAAATGACCCCATTCTGCAGTCAGACTCCGGAATCAGGCACAGAGCCCCGGGGTCACTGTGGGGACCCTTCCCCCCAAGCCAGTTCCCACCAGCGCTCAGGCAGTGAAAGAGACTATCAGGTCCCCTGGGGCAAGGCAGAGGGTGCTCCATACTTCCCCTCCCCTTTCGTCCTCAGTTGGGGGTGGGGAGAGAGCGGACAGGACCCAGAGTTACATAATCATGCTCCCCTCCCCCACTGACTCCGACTCTTCCAGGCCCCTTGCCATGACACCAGCGCCAGAGTTTAAGGTCTCATTAGGCGTCCTCCCTGCAATAAAAGAGACCAAGGTAATAAAAGACAAAGGGGGAGTGAGGGTGGAAGCAGAGCCCCACACAGGGGTTCGGCCCAGGTAACACCACTTCCATGGGCCTCCGGCAGGGCAGCCCAGTGAAAACCCTCACACCGAATCTTTCCCAATAAGCAACATATTGCGCCCAGAGCCACCTTCCAGACTACAGCCCCCATAGTGGTTCCTCTCATCTAATAAAAGGATTATTTCTCCTCTTATAGTCTCTCAGAAATACCTCTAACAGCCTCTACTTTTCCTCCACTGCCTCTTATCAAGTTGTGATTTTTAATTTATTTGCTTAGGTGATTTTGCCTCTCCCTCTTCAACTATAATGTACATTCCCAAAGTACAGACCTGTGTCCCCCTTTTTCAGGACTCCAAATCCTGCCACTAGCATAGTGCTTGATGCGTACTGAGTACTTTATATATTAGGGGTTGACAAACTTTTTCTTTAAAAGGCCAGAGTTAATATCTTAGGATTTGTGGGCCAAATGGCCTCTAAACCAACAATTTAACTGTGGTTGTAGCACAAAAGCAGCCACAGACAAAAGGTAAACCAAAAAAACACATTTGTTTTTCCATTTAAAAAAAACAGTTTTTATGGAAACCAGCATTGGGTCAGATTTGGCACAGTTTGCCAACCTCTGCTCTGTAACATGTGATAGAATACATCAACCAAATTCTCCCAGCTGCACCTCCTACGTGCTCTCAAACATGCCAACTTTGCCAGTTCCCCAATCATCAGGCCCCAACTACCAGCATGAGTCATGAATTGATTCTAGCTCATATATGGACTTTCCAGACACCCTACTTATGGCCAATTCAGTTTCAATTCCCAGTACTAACATATATGGACTCCCCGTTCATTCTTGTCCATCCTAAACTCCATGCAGAGTCCAGGCGTAGGTGTTTTGTCTAAATCACAAACACTCTGTCACTCTCCTACTTAAAACTGAATCAGTGGTGGGGCGCCTGCAGTCAGTAAAGAATCCAACTCTTGACCTCAGCTCAGGTTTCGGTATCAGGGTTGTGTGTTCAAGCCCCACAATGGGCTTCACCCTGGGTGTGGTGCCTACTTTAAAAAATAAAGAAAATTTTAAAAAACTGAAGGCTTCCCAATGGCCTTAGAACAAGGTCCAAAGTTTACCCCGGCCTTTAGGGCCCTGCCCGCCTCTCCAAGCTGGCTCATCCGTTCCACACTTTGTTTTCTCTACTTTAGCTGTCCCTCTTCTCTCAATTCCTGAAACACACCACGCCTAGTCCTGCCTGAGAGGCCCTGCATCTGGAATGTTCTCTCAAATCTCCTCCCTACTCCTACTCCAAAGCCCGACCGCTTGTCTAGCTACATGCAGCTCATTTGGGGGTTTCAAACATTTGTCCCTTGTAAGGGGTTTTTCCTGACCTCCTCCCCAAGTTCTCCTGCTCCATGTTTCCTTATCACCCTGGTCATGATTAATTTAAGGGAGGATAAAACCTCCACAGAGGCAAGTATTATATCTATTTCAATCACACTGTTTCCCCCTGTACAAGGCCCACTTCATAGAGGGCATCCCCAAGTGGAAACGTGCCAAACAATCAACACTCCCCAAAAATAACTCAGCATAGCCAGCCTGAGGCATGCACCTGCAGACACACAGAACAACAATGTAACACCACAAAATCAAATATAAAAATGACTTAAAATGCCTGTTCATATAACATAAATCAACACTAGCTTTCAGAAGTCTTTAAGAAACAACGTTAAGTCCAAGATGGCAAGGCAGAACCTGTGCTCTTTTCGACAAAACACCTCACTTGAAATCTGAAGTCTACTTTTCTTCCAGAATTAATTTTTTTCATGTCTCAAAAGTTAGTTTTAACCCTATTATTTAAAAAAAAAAAAAACACACTCCATTTATGACCAACTCAATTTCAATTCCTAGTACTAACAAAGGTATGTCATCTTTTTTCCTGGAGTCCCATATGTTTTTAAGCCTCGTAGTGATTCATTCACAGGCTTGGGGTAACCAGAGTGGGAGCCGCCGGGAAAAGAACTGAATAATCTTCCTTTTCCTTGATGGTAAGACTTCTGACATAACTGGGAAATAGCTTTTCTTAAGATACCCGCATCTCGCAGTGAAAAACACTGATGCTCACAAATTAAAAGCTCTTTTAAATGAAAGAAAGGAATAAAGAGAAAGGAAAGGGAAAGGAAAAATGAAATGAAAGCTAAATTAACAGGCCCTAAGCTAAAGAACTACAAATAGTCACCAAAAAACTAAAAAAGGACAGCAAAAACAAACTCTTGCCATCCCTTGATAGAGGGGACATTCCATTTTTTAAATTCACTTGTCACTCAAACCAATCGGCACATGCAGACTCAGGACCTAACTTTCCAGCTGCCGAGCTAGATAACATGAAACGTCCTATGAAATAAAAGGTGAATTACTAATAAACAGCTCCATGCATAAGGGAGGTACGGTAGTGTCCTACAAATCCGGGAGGATGGGTGAGGGCTGGGCCGGCTGGTGGTACCACATTTCTGAGCTGCGGGACCTGGACTGTACTACGTGATTTCCCTTTTGATGGATGGGCGACCGTCCTGTCTGCCCGGACAGGCGGTACCCGAGGGCAGGGGGCCGGGCCGGGGGTCAGGGGTGACGGCTGCGAGGCCGAGGGGTACGGGCCCCATCCCGGCGCGGGGTGCCACCGCGGGGAGGAGGCGCCGCCGCACAGGCGGCGGTTCAGGGCCCTCCGGCCCCTCCTCGCGCCCGCAGGGCCCTCCCCGCCTTCCCGAGGGGCCGGGCCGCACCTGCAGATCGGCCGGAGACACTCCCACCGCAGCGCGCCGCGCGGCCCAGCACACCCGCCGCCGTCCGCTGCCGCCGTGCACTTCCGCTTCCGGCCTGGAGGTCGCCGGGAGCGGAAGTGGCCGGGGCTCCGGTTCTCGGGACTGGAGGAGCTTAAGGCAGTGACAGAAATGTTGACCCCTTCTTCATCCGGCCTCGGAGAGTAAATCCTAGTTTCCTTCCCCGCGGGGTGAAGTTAGGCTCTGGCATGGGGTCGGACTGGACCTTCAATGGGGCGGGTGGAGGTGGGTCCTGAGCCTGACTGACGAGGCTTGGCCGGGGGCGATGGGGGGGAAGGGGGGCGCGTCTAGGTTGATGGGCGGGGCCCGGGCTTGGTGGGCGAGGATAGGGGTGGGATCTTCCTGGCAAGTTGGGATGCTCCGTGTTTAACTTACCTTCGCCCACCTCCGCTTTGATCCTTTGGTTCAGCCCATGCCCCTACAAAAACATACCCATGGGTAAAATTTCTTTTTCAGATTTTCTAATTTCTTCTAAAAATAGGATTATACATCAAAAACTAATGATGTAATATATGGTGATTAACATAACAATAAAAAATTTTAAAAAATAAATAAATAAATAAAAATAAAAATAGGATTATATATTTTATGTCACCTACGACCTACTTTCTCACTAAAAATAAGATGTGAAAAAATGTTCAAGACAATAGAAAATCTGACTCTCCTTTTTAAAATCTAATATGGGGGCGCCTGGGTGGCTCAGTGGGTTAGGACTTGGCTCTTGGTTTTGGCTCACGTCATGAGCTCGTGGGTCACGGGATCCAGCCTCCCCCCCCCCCACTCCCCGTGGGCCTCTGCGATCAGCGTGGAGTTGGCTTGAAAGATTCTCTCCCTCTGTCCCTCCCCCAACTCGCGCTGGAGTGCTCTCTCTCAAATAAATAAATTTTTTAAATATTTTATTTATTGATTTGTCAGAGAGAGACACAGGGAACGCAAGCAGGGGGAGTGGGAGAAGGAGAAGCAGGCTTCCCTCTGAGCAGAGAGCCGGATAAGGGGCTGGATCCCAGGACCCTGGGATCATGACCTGAGCCCAAGGCAGATGCTTAATGAGTGAGCCACCCAGGCGCCCCAATAAATAAATATTTTTAAAAACAAAAACTAATGTGTTTGGTATATAGTATACATAATACATACACAGAGGAGTTCAAATGGGGCGGGCGTCTCAACCCATCTCCAAATTTTCCCAGAAATAACCACTGTAACCAGTTCCCTGATAGTCTTTATATATCAAGCACATGTGTGTATTATTTCTTTCAATTAATACTGATATAGCATCGGTGGATTGCTACATGCTAAGTGCTAGGATTACAAAGTGCCTTCCTGCAGGGGAGAGACGGTGAAAGAGATGAGGTTGATCCATTCCAGTAAAACTAAGTCAACACGTTGTAGTATGTGCTATGTTAGCAGAATTTGAAAAAAAAAAAAAACTGATAAGGAGATGAGGCAAAATCAAGAAATTTGGTATGATTGAAAGTGGGTTTTGAAGGATGAATATCAAGCCATGGAAATGGTTATAGGAAATGTTGCAAGTATGGGGTATCGTGTAAGCAAGAATACAGCAGCATAGGGGAAATACACATTCTGGGAATACTAAATAATGTGTTATGGCTAGAAATTAAGGGTATGTTTGTGTTATTGTCACAAACATAGACAAATAGATCCAAGACAAAACAGCTCAGAAGCAGATTCAGGCATATATGGACATTCAGTATGTGTTAGTATTTCAAGTCAATGGGGAAGGGAAGCTGTTGGGACAATTGGCTAAAGGATTAAGTTATTAGATCTCTATTTCCCATCATTCACAAATAATTCCTTTATATTCTACATGTTCCAAAATCTCACTATGATCTACTCAGTAGGCTTGTTTAATATAGAAACGAATGTGTTTCAGCTCTAGGAAATTGTTTTATATTATTTCCTTGAATAATAGCCTCCTTTCTGTTTGGTTTTTTGTTGTTTCTTTCCAAAATTTCTTAAGCTTTATGTTTTTGGTCTCCTTGCAGATTGTCACCACTTTATATCTTATCCTTCTATTGAATTTTTATGTTGGCTGCCATAACTTTAATTTCTTAAAGCTCTTCTTTATTCTCTGAAGATTCCCTTTTCCCCCAACTATTCTGGTTTCATCTTGTTGAAAATACAAATTAAAAGTCTGTTTAAGAGTTCTCTTTGTTCCCAGAATTAGTTTGGACACTATGGAATCTACCTACTGCTCACATTGTCAAAACTAGGAATCCCCTGAGGTTGCAAATTAATCTGCAGCCTCTGCAGCTGTAATTCTGCTATCTGCAAAATAAATTCTCAGGTTAGTTTTAGAGTTATTTCAAACTTGAGGCTATAAGAAATAAGAGATTGGGTGGTTCAGCATTCACAAATCAATCAATGTGATAGAACACATTAATAAGAGGAGAGAGAAGAATCATATGGTCCTTTCAATTGATGCAGAAAAAGCATTTGACAAAATACAGCATCCTTTCCTGATTAAAACTCTGTTCAGAGTATAGGGATAGGGGGAACATTCCTCAAGTTCATAAAGTCTATCTATGAAAAACCCACAGTGAATATCATCCTCAATGGGAAAAAGCTGAGAGCCTTTCCCTTAAGATCAGGAGCACGAAAAGGATGCCCATTCTCACCACTATTGTTCAACATAGTACTAGAAGTCCTAGCAACAGCAATCAGACAACAAAAAGAAATAAAAGGTATTCAAATTGGCAAAGAAGAGGTCAAACTCTTCGCAGATCACATGACACTTTATGTGGAAAATCCAAAAGACTCCACCCCCAAATTACTAGAACTCATTCAGCAATTCAGTAATGTGGCAGGATACAAAATCAATGCACAGAAATCAGTGGCTTTCTTATACACTAACAATGCAACTGTAGAAAGAGAAATTAGAGAAACGATTCCATTTACAATAGCACCAAAAACCATAAGATACCTCGGAATAAACCTAACCAAAGAGGTAAAGGATCTATACTCTAGGAACTACAGAACACTCATGAAAGAAATTGAAGAAGACACAAGAAGATGGGAAAAAAAAATCCATGCTCATGGATCGAAAGAATAAACATTGTTAAAATGTCTATGCTACCCATAGCAATCTATACCTTCAATGCCATCCTGATCAAAATTCCAATGACATTTTTCAAAGTGCTGGAATAAACAATCCTAAAATTTGTATGGAATCAGAAAAGACCCTGAATCACCAAGGAAATGTTGAAAAAGAAAAACAAAGTTGGGGGCATCACGTTCTCCGATTTCAAGCTGTATTACAAAGCTGTGGTTACCAAGACAGCATGGTACTGGCACAAAAACAGACATATAGACCAATGGAACAGAATAGAGAGCCTAGATATGGACCCTCAACTCTACGGTCAAATAATCTTTGACAAAGCAAGAAAAAACATACAATGGAAAAAAGACAGTCTCTTCAATCAATGGTGCTGGGAAAATTGGACAGCTATATACAGAAGAATGAAACTCGACCATTCTCTAGCACCATACACAAAGATAAACTCAAAATGGATGAAAGACCTCAATGTGAGACAGGAATCCATCAAAATCCTAGAGGAGAACATAGGCAGTAACCTCTTTGACATTGCCCACAGCAACTTCTTTTAAGATACATCAAAAGCTAGCAAAACAAAAGCAAAAATGAACTTTGGGGACTTCATCAAGAGAAAAACCTTCTGCACAGCAAAGGAAACAGTCAACAAAACAAAAAGGCAACCCACAGATAGGGAGAAGATGTTTGCAAGTGACACTACAGATGAAGGACTCATATCCAAGATCTATAAAGAACTTCTCAAACTCAACAAACAAAAAAACAAATGATCAAGTCAAAAAATAGCCAGAAGACATGAACAGACACTTCTCCAAAGAAGACATACATATGGCTAACAGACACACGAAAAGGTGTTCATCATCATTAGCCATCAGGGAAATTCAAATCAAAACCACATTGAGATACCACCTTACACCAGTTAGAATGGCAAAAATGGACAGGGAAAGAAACAACAAATGTTGGAGAGGTTGTGGAGAAAGGAGAACCCTCTAACACTGTTGGCAGGAATGCAAGTTGGCACAGCCACTTTGGAAAACAGTGTGGAGGTTCCTCAAAAAATTAAAAATAGAGCTACCCTATGACCCAGCAATTGCACTCCTGGGTATTTACCCCAAAGACACAGATATAGTGAAGAGAAGGGCCATATGCACCCCAATGTTCATAGCAGCAATGTCCACAATAGCCAAACTGTAGAAAGAGCTGAGAAGCCCTTCATCAGATGAATGGATAAAGAAGATGTGGTCCATATATACAATGGAATATTACTCAGCCATCAGAAAGGATGAATACCCAACTTTTACATCAACATGGATGGGACTGGAGGAGATGATGCTAAGTGAAATAAGTCAAGCAGAGAAAGTCAATTATCATATGGTTTCACTTATTTGTGGAACATAAGGAATAGCACAGAGGACATTAGGAGAAGGAAGGGAAAAATGAAGTGGAGGAAATCGGAGGGAGAGATGAACCATGAGAGACTATGGACTCTGAGAAACAAACTGAGGGTTTTAGAGGGGTGGAGGGTGGGGTTATGGGTTAGCCCAGTAATGGGTATTAAGGAGGGCAAGTATTGCATGGAGTACTGGGTGTTATATGAAAACAATGAATCGTGGATCACTACATTACAAAAAATGATGTACCCAAAATCATAAGGTACCTAGGAATAAATCTAACCAAAGAGGCAAAGAATCTGTACTCAGAAAACTATAAAATACTCATGAAAGAAACTGAGGAAGACACAAAGAAATGGAAAAACGTCCCATGCTCATGGATTGGAAGAACAATTATTGTGAAGATGTCAGTGGTACCTGGTGCAATCTACACATTTAATGCATTCCCTAGCAAAACACCATCAACCTTTTTCAAAGAAATGGAACAAATAATCCTAAAATTTGTATGGAACCAGGAAAGACCTCGAATAGCCAGAGGAATGTTGAAAAAGAAAAGCAAAGCTGGTGGCATCACAATTCCAGACTTCAAGCTCTATTACAAAGCTGTAATCATCAAGACAGTATGATACTGGCACAAAAACAGACACATAGATCAATGGAATAGAATAGAGAGCCCAGAAATGGACCTTCAACTCTATGGTCAACTAATCTTTGACAAAGCAGGAAAGAATGTCCAATGGA